GAAGTACTCAAAGAAGCTACATTAGCAACATCAACCGAAGAAACAGCACTACCTACAGTAATTCCACTCTCGTTACCATCACGTTTATTATTCACATCAACCTTAGTATTCCAAAATAATCGCAATGTGCGTTCCGTAGGAAGTCTCTCAAAGTCAATCTCCTTTACGGCTTCTGCTCTCTTTTCTGGGTGAATTGATTCGAGAACCCGTAAACAGTTACTTATCCACTTGCTAAGTCTGAACTTTTCTGAAGAATAAACCAAGGGTTTTTGCAAGGTCGACTGCATCCTGCACATTATCAATTAGAGTTAAATAGTCGTCGACATAAAAACTCTTATCTACAACTTCCTGGACATCTTTATTCAATTCCTTTCCGAATATATTTACCGTCTTCGTAAGAGCGAAATTAGCGCAAAAAGGAGAGGACACGGCTTCAAGCGGATGAACTGTCAAACAGTATTCCTTAGCCTTTCGTCCTATATGACCGTCTTCCCACCATAATAGTCGAAACGCTCTCCTATCTCGTCTCGGGATCTTTACTTGAAAAAACATCTCCTCGATGTCAGTGGCTAATGCTACGTTGCATAATCTGAATCGTAGAAGTATACCAATTAAACTTTACAGTATTTGGTCCTCTCAAAAGCTGATCATTAAGAGAACAACCTTGATAGACAGCTACACAATCAAAAACAATTCTTAATTTTCTAGGCTTTTTAGGGTTGATAACAGGATGATGAGGAATATACCAACAAACAGCATCACGGTCGAATTCCTACTTACTAGCTTCAATGATGTAGCCCTTACTTAAGTGTTTATTCATTACAAGTTGATTTTTCTCCAGAAGACTATTATCCTTCATAAACCTCTCCCTAAAACACTCTAGTCTACGTTCAGCTAGTTCCAAATTATTCGGTAGCCTTGCCTTATCATACTTCCAGGGTAGACCAACTTGGAAACGGCCACCCTCCAGTCTAAAGGAACTGTTAACTATTTCTAGAGCTCTTTTATCTTCGACAGAATATCCATTACGAAACCCGTCTGCATCCTCGAACTCATGATTATATAATCTTTCTATATCTCGCAAAATATCATTAGTAGAACAATGACACCACTGAACTTGATGTAAAGACCTCGATACTCCTTTAGGACCTAAAATCATCCGACCGAGATGAGTACGCACACCAATCGGATGCTTCCTGTCTCCCAGGCGTTGTTCGAGGACCCAATGTGCATCTGGAGCATCACACCCAATCAATATTCCTACAAGATTACTTTGCAACCTCGGTAGGGTTATGTCCTTGAAATGTTTCCACCTTTCCAGCTGGAGTTCGGTTAAAGGTTCTGCATAATTGATCGGAAGTTTCTTGGTCGTATAGGCCTTGTTGATCTTTAAAGAACCCCGCTCATCTAATGAAAATACCTCTAAATTTACTTCCAGACATTCACAATTAGAAGTTCCATTCACAGTCGTCACCTTTAATAAAGTCTCCTTACCTTTGAGACCTAACCGATTAAATAACTCTTCGCATACAATAGAGGTATCTGAACCATTATCTAGAAGGGCGTATGTTTCCAGACATCCTTTGGGGCCATATAGTCTAACCGTAATGATACCTAAACAATCCTTAGCAAAGTTCACCACATGTTTGTTAGTAGCATCAATATGTAATAATGGATAATGCCGAATCTTACAATCATCAACGTCACATGTTGTGTCCGAGTTACACGACTTGGCTCTGTGATCCTTCCTTAAACACAGGTAACATAGATCAGGCTTCCTCACTTCCTGTCTCCTCTCTGTAACATTCATTTTTGATAACTTCATACAGTCTTTCTCATTGTGATCACCAAAACAAATTTCGCAACTTAAAGCCTTGAATGAGTTGCTTGGTTTCCGCTTAACTAGATCAAAGCGTGATCTCCTGTCAACTTGGCCTTCATAATTACTTTTAGGGAACTTTGAGTTACAATGTACCAATCTACCAAAACTTGATCGCGCAATCCTGGCTCTTTCTTCTACAAACATCACTCATTATTCAAAGATCGGCTCCTTACCGGTCATCATGATCCTATCAGCAGCTTCCACCCATTTATTCTGTAATTCTAGGGGTAAACGTGACACCATTATTTCCAGATTAGCCGTAGAATTCACATCGGACATATACCCCATTTCCTTCAATGTTATAAATACATTACGTAACTTAATTGCGAAGTCAGTTAGGCCATCGGCGGATCCTTCAACAGATTTGTGGCTAAGTAATTCAGCAATGGGATTACGAGTGACAAGATGTTCTTTACCAAATAAATCATAAAAAATTTGTTTAGCTCTATCATAACCCAAGTGACTGGGCAAGGAAATACAAGCTTCAATAGCCGTTCTGGCCTTTCCTTTACAATAGTATGACAAATATGACAACAACTGGCACTTGTCAGACAGTGTACTCTCTATAATGCTTGTAAACTGACTAATAAAAAGGTGGTACTGGCTTGGTTGTCCGTCAAAAAACATCATATTGATCTTAGGTAAAACCGTATTATTAACCGTAGTACGTAACGTATCCTTTAATTCATCAATACAATCGCATTTTGAGGTGTTAAATACCTCCACGGAATGCTTATTACGCGCAATGTCACAATCCAAGTACCTTTCCACCTTATCATTGATCTCAGATTTGTCTACTGACAGTCGGTTATCGATTTCTATGACCTTACATTCTAATTCGGCCATATCAACCTCCTCCTGAAGATCTAACATTTTAAGCTGCTTTTCTAACTCAAGTCTCCTTTCCAAATTCTTCTTGTTGTTTTGAACCTGATTTATCCCCCCTTTTTCTTCTAACTAGATTGGGATAATACGAAGGACGTGAATGCTAGTACGAAAGCCAAGGACGAAAAGGTATCTGCGAAATGAATATTTTCAGGGCGTCATCAGTCTTTGAAATCTAGTTTATTCGGGCGAAGACTAGATTCTCTTAGGAGTTTAGACAAAAAGGACAAGTGTAAACCCTGGACTTTCTGTCCTGAATAAAAAGTCTGCCTTATCAGTATCATAGTACGCTGATTTATTATCACTTCAAATATAAGTTGCAAACCGTATAAACGTGACTGGTGACACATTCATTGCAGTGATACTTCAAAAACCTCGAAAATCCGATCTTTGTAGCACAGAAGTATATGTTTACCGTAAGATCATCTTACTGTACGAATTTAGTTTTCCAGGTGGCTACCACCCAAGCAGAGGGACGACAGATCAAACTCACTTATTTTATTTAATGTCATAGTATCGAAAGAAAGCTTGCTAGAAGGTAGAGCTGCCTCCGACAGACAGCTGTGGGATAAACACTGCAGAAGTCTCAGAATGTGCAACGTCCCAGCCAAAATATGCCGCTTATTTAAAGGCCAAAATGTCTCGAAAGGAAAACCCCCTCCAATGAGGGTAACTCTTGACTCGGCACGACTTGCTGAAGACATCATCATTTCATCCCAAAGACCATCGGTCAAATTGTCCTCGCCGAGTCGCATCAGGCATGACAAGCCGTGGTCGCTACGTGCAGCAGCCAGAACTGCGCCAGGCACCCAATAACAGACCACAATGGTAGTTCATGGTATATCCGAATTCACTAGCGGTAACCCTGACGAAGCTCACCAGCACGGTGTGCAACGGTGGCGATGGCTATCGCGTAGCCTATCCCTCCACACCGCGATGGCTGTTTGCATTTCTAGGTTGCCTGGCCCGTCACACCATACGTCCATCAAGTCGCCACGCCTGATGGCAGTGACATTTAGGAACCGTGAAGACCCGACTGAAACACTACAAGCTAGGTACAGTTCGAGGAACGATCTGCCTAGCCACATCAGATGTTGCGAAGGACGACCTAGATCTGTGAGACAACAGTAGGGAGGCCAAAATGAACGCTTAAACCTGTCAGTTAACCTCCGTCAACTACCCGTGGAACAAGACGTGATTGAACCAACCACGCAAGCGAAAAAACTGCAGAGGCCAGTTCCCACAGAACTGGCCGATTCGGTTTGAATAACTTGTCTGAAAATCCGACAATGGCTGCTGCTGCAGAAGTGCACCAGGTGCTGAAACAAACCACCCAGTGCCTCGATAGCAACGTAAGAGGACTAATCATGGCATACACCATATTAAACACGCCAAACCATCCAAATGTGAGCATCTTACCGATGCATCACCACCTCTCCCCTCGAGGAAATCGGCGAAAGATTGCACATCAAAGAGCAAATACTCAGATTCGTGCACACTTTTTCTCATTGCCAGTCGTTGCAACTTGGAATGCTCTACCAGCCGAGGTAGTTACAGCCCCCTCAGATGAGTCTAGATAATCACGTACTCGCATACGGACTATCGTCTCCCTGTGCCTGATGCATATATTGAGACCTGCTAGTTGTTACCATTGCCATCTCCCCAGATCACTTGCTTAACCTAACTCGCCTATCATCATAGTTTCCTCTCCCTTGCTTACACTACGGTCCTCTCTCGCAATCTTCACTACCAATTAAAAAATAAATTCATCTATATATTACTCAGTCCTGAAATTTTATTCATATTAGCATAAGAATTTTATCCTTATTATCCTTATGACTCTACACATTGCAACTAACTGATCTCCGGTTTGTTAATGTGATAGCTGCTGGTATCCAGAAATCCTACTGCCCTGAAACAAACGTTTTCATTCAAATCCCGAGACATACAAACTCACAACCAACTGCCATCTGACTAGGATTAGACAGTCGAGTGGCTAGACCTCCATCCTTTGGACATTACCGAACACCTGAAATTGTACCGAAAGAACAAGAATCGAGCGCGAAGAAATCAAATTGGTTTACACTAGCTCGTGAAAAAGATATTGGAAGATATTGGATATTGGAATATTGGATGTGTTTGTGCCTCATTCAATCTCAAGGGTAATGCCTTGACGCAGAAATTTCAGTGCAATGTTTGCTTCTTCTGAAAAAATTATGTTTGCAGCCTCACGATGAGTCAGGGTCTAGGAACTCCAGTGGCTTTGGAAACGTTTTGCAAAGTATTAGAAACACTGAGTGAACGACCAGTAAATGGAATTGTAATGTTGAATTGGTCTCGTTCGGACATATTATCTCTGGTGTTGAACGTAATGTCACTTCTTTTTATTTCATCTTCGGTTGCTTCACGCCAATATTCTTCAAGGTACTTCGTTTTTTATAAACTAGTTTGTTTTCTTGGTTCAATGTTTGTAGTTACTCATGGTTGTCGATTGCTGGGGATTTTGTATTTGTTCTACTAACAAGTTGCCTTTTATTCTTAACGTTCTTTATACGGTATAAAAGGATAAATTCATCTTCTACAAAATTCAAGACATTCCTAAAGACCTCTGTTACTTACCTTAGTAAGTATGTTGTCTTTCATAGTTTGTAGAAAATATGGATCCAAATACTCTTTCTTATTCGTCATGTTTAGATGGATTCGCTAGCCAGATGGTTGGTCTGGATACTCACCTTACTATCCGGGATGGGAAAATAGTAATTTTGCCCGCTGTTTTACTTGTCCCAGGTGACGTCATCATAATTAAACCAGGTCAGACTATCTTTGCTTTCTGCAAACAAATAAGCGAGGAAAAGGTATTCACACTTTCACTTTTAACCTATGAACCAGAGTGGCATTTACTTTCCAGGTGATATTTTTGTTCCACGCAAATTCAGTTGTAGCTTGAATCCTACCTCGCTTGCATCCGTTCAAAAATCAGATGAGTCTATATTAGCTGTTGTCATGCGTTCTCCCTTGGCTTCTTACATCGAAATTGCGTGTAATTCAAATGATGAAAATGGTCGTACATTTCAACCGCTTGCTCATAAAGTTTTGCACACTGCAGTTTGGATTTCTTTGATAATCAAGTATTCTATCACTTTCATTTTCCTAATTTCAATATTTCTCGCTGCACTTCCTATTGGCGATCACAGCCATCAGTTTTATCGTTTACTAGTCTGGTTTACCCATACTCTTGGTGTAGTTGTTTCTCCGTTAAGCTTTCCACTGTATTTCATATGGATGGTTGCTACTTCTGTTGTCACACTTCGTTTCCAGCATGTCCTTTCTGAAACACAGGATCATTTTAAATTTACTGGTAGTGATGACTTCAATTATCCCTCGCTTGTATCTCGTCGACCTAACGCTTCTGAACTTCGCAGGTCAATTACGTTAACGTTATACTCGCTCATCTCCAATCTTCGTTCCTTTGGGTTTATGGTAAGCAGAGTAATTCAACCTGTTTTTATATTTTCTACTAGTTTACCTTACAATCCGTGATTTTCTCTTTCGAAAATGGAGAATCCACTCCATAGAATAGTGACTAGCTTCTTAGAACGGTAGTGTTTATATTTACTTGTTACTACTTTTCAGTAGTACATACCTTCTAAGCGTTAGGTGTTATGTACTTATATGCTACTGTCAAATAATGGTTACAATGGGACTGAAACACAAATACTACACAGTATTTTCAAGAGAATTTACAAATCATCTAGCTATCAGTGATACTTTTCGAGAATTATTCTTGAGTGTCAAGTTTTTTTCCTCAGCTCTAAGATAACCATGGCTAGCAAACAAAACGATCAAAAGTCATTTGGTCATGTATACTTGTTCAAATCACCATATATCTTCACAAAAAGATGAAATTATCAAAACAGTTACTGCGGTAGTATAAATACTATTAGCATCGGTAATAGGATTAAGCATAGACATTACGGTTTTAAGAAAATTTAAGATGGTTTTGAAAGTTAGGACCCAAGATAAAGTAAAAAATAAATGATTCTTGTCAACAATTTTGAGCCGTTTCGAAAAGTCCATCTAATATTGTTGACTTCAAACCAGGGAGTCTGTACATATCAATATGACTCAGTTCAGCAGCTAATACGTTCACCAATACATGCTACGTTTTGGTGTGGCCGCTCCAACCCTCCTTACAACTTCCTCATTCAATATAGTGTTTCATCAAAATACATGAAATATATATCTACTCAACTTGTCGAATCATTGTAGTAGGTAAGGTGGTAAAACAGTAAGAATAATAAGTGGGGAAATAAGCGAATGATTATCGAAAGTTTGGAGTAGTAGCACGTTCATAATGTAGATGGTAACGCAGGATGAATGAACCATATCTCAATCTGTGTGCACGAACTATCCAACCTATCAGAATAGGAACCAGTTCACCTAGAATAATACGTCGAAGATCTCTGATGTTCGGGTGTTTTAAAAGATTATCAGTTACTTCTAGTTTCTTAATGACAAAACCAAACCTCTGTCCTGTGGAAAGTGCATGGATTCAATTTCGAATAAAACAGATTAAAAAACCTAAAAATACACAATTTGTCATCTATGAAGGCAATGCATTTGTGATGTAAGTTGATCTGTTTTACGGTCTATTACTTAATAGAATAAGCCTTATTAGTCGTTAGCCAAGATGAATAGAGATTTGAACAGCCACTTCTACTCAAAAATAGATTTAAACAGTCAGTTCGAAAATCAAATGTGCTCAAGTTTCCTAATTTCAGTTTATAGCGCCATTGATCACTTCGTAGCCAGATACATCTACATAAGGATGGCAGATTAATAGGTGAAGTTTTAAAACTTTATCAGTTGTGGGGGTTGTGACATGTATTACGAATACCCAACCACCGACTGCATCGTGCAGCTACGTTTTGTGATGTAGGAGTAGGTTGGAAGAAAGCTCGGGGAGGCCAAACCAAAATATGACACAAATCCATGAAGTCACTGTTAAGTGGACTGAGTCATGTTGGTAGCTGCAGGCCACCTGGTTGGGGTCCGCGAGAGGATAGTAATCGATGGTTAGAGACCTTGAAAGATATGGCTCAGAATCGTTTGCAATGGTGCAGGTGCAGGTGTTCTCTCGAATTCTAATCTCCTGAAGTTCTCATGACTTTTCTTTTTAAGTTGATTCCTGTGGGATATACTTCTCGGACGATATCTTCAGTCCCTATTCTTTCGATTACCGCTAATATTTATACTATCTCTACTACTATGGGATTTGAATTGACAATTGCGTGTCTGTGCTAATGTGGTATGGCAACTTGAACTGATGTACGTCTGTACGAAGTTCTATGCTGTAGCTGACTGACTGACATTATGGTAACTCGTAGTTTGTTTTGAATTGAGTGGTTCAACAGGTTTACTGGAAAAGGCTTTCCCATTTTGTTATGTCAAATGAACCAAGAAAGTTCAGTGTTCTGAAAGTAACTTGATGAGAGTAATAATAGTTTATTTATCAATCCATACTTCATGGTTTGCTAATACTGTTGGGTACTATTTATCTACTAAGCATTCTCTTAACATAATATATATGATTCTGCGTTGGCTTATTTAAAGTTGTTCTTACCATAGTTTTACTTTCAGACTAATGTAGATTCGGAAAATATTTTACTTACTTTGGGGACACTAAGTTCCGTCTGTTGTATCAACCAAGAAGGTGTTATAAGCCAGTCGTTACCAACCCCAGAGAAAATGTTTTTCTTCCACAAACGCCACCACAATCATCACCACCAAGGGAATCCTAATGCAAACAAGTCTCAAAATGTTGTCTGTAAATCAAGCTCAAGAATAGAAGAACGTTTAGACCATCAGAAATCCGAATCAGGTCAGCTGAACACATCAGTATTTCTTCACACAATAGAACAAGTAATTTTTGGTTTTTTAGCAAATCTTTTTCTAAAGTCTTGGACAATAATATAGCTTATAAATATCATCAAAATCTAACTGTAAAGCAATGCATCTCAGAAAATTAAAGACCATTAAAATTCATCTAACGACCAAAAAATCTAGAAAATCTGCATTGCACTGTAAGGCTACTTTATAATTGTCTCAGAACTGAATTCTGTTTTTACACATTTGCAATGTGAAATCTTGGAGACTTGTTGTTTCAGGCTGCCAGTGCTTCCGACTATACAAAAGTGAATATGTAAAAGAACGGAATAATAAACAATAAGATTCGCATGAATAGATGGAAAAGTTATAGTGTAGCGATCTCATCAGTAGGCTTCAGTCACTGATTTCTAATCTTAAGAAAATCTTTGCTGCGAAGCATGCTTCCTCCGATATGGCTTAAGCTAAAATCCAGTGACTTCATGAATTAGGGTAATAGCTTAATTTACCTACTCTTGACCTAGTTTTCTACACTACAACTCGAGTTTTGAATATTAGTATCCTAGCTTTCTGCATAGGTGTATTCGAAGCATTGCTCGTATATCGTGGGACACCCGAGTGAGCAACGCTGTTATTAGGAAACGGGTACTAGGTAAGAATGGCAGATCAATCGATGAAGTGGTGAAACTTCATCAGTTGAGGTGGTTGGGACATGTGTTGCGTATGCCAAACCACCGACTGCCTCGTCGAGCTTTGTTTTGTAGTGTAGGAGTAGGTTGGAAGAAAGTTAGGGGCGGCCAAACCAAAACATGGCATAAATCCATGAAGTCATTGACGAGTGGACTTAGCCATGTCGTTAATTGTCGACTACCTGGTTGGGGTCCGCGAGATGATAATAATCGATGGCTAGAGACCTTGAATGACATGGCTCAAAATCGTTCGCAATGGCGCCGGTGCATTTATTCTTTGTGTTCTCTCAAATCCTAATCTTCTGGGTTATTCAACACCTCTAGTTTTTACTTTCTAAACTTATCTCATTGAATCATACTTCGTGAATAATAATTCTAACTTCTCCGATTACTTCTAAAATACCTATACTACCTCTTCTACTATTGGATTTGAATTGACAATTATATCTCTGTGCTGATGTGGTATGGCGACATGAACTGATGTACTTACGTACGTAGTTCTACGTTGCAACTGACTGACTGACTGACTGAGCTTTCTGTCTGTGTATATAGATTCTGCTGATCAGGCGTTTGTTTAATTACTTATATATATCTTTTATGGCCCGACCGTAGATGCTAACTTGACGTTGTGGTTGGGCTTGCCTATCGTGGTAACCCAACTGAGCTATATTGGCTGGAATATATGTTCCTATTGGTCCTACCATGCCAGACAGGTCGATTGGAGAACGATTAGACTAAAAGAAGCTACTCAAGTTCTGAGGGCGGAGACGTACTGTTGACTGTAGGGGGTTGTGACAGCAGCAAGGTGTTTCTCTCGGACAACCAGCATCTGCAGCGACGCTGCTTCCCCTCAGGGAAGAAAGTAGTTAGAAAACGTCGACCTTGAAAATGTCACACCTCACCTTACCCCATGGATTTCCGTCCTTTGCAGTAAATCCATTTGGATTGCGGAGCTAACATTTCCGAAACATCCAACAAAAAGTTCGTGCGTGATTCGCCTCAAGCAGTTGTTCTTTGGGCTCTGGGATCACGCTCCCAGATTGTAAAGAAGTTGTAAAGACATGTAAAGAAGCACTCTTCCACCTTGTGGGCAGCTGAAAAGTGACATCGCTCTCATATCCGTAAAAGCTGATGCAAGCGTTTCGAGTGCATAATTCGTTATCCTTGGTCTCCTGAAACCACATTCTAAACTACATTTTGGAGCTTTCAATGTTCGAAAGTTGTGTCAAAAAAGGACAACAAGCTTCCTTAGCTAGGACTCTAGAATCTTGTGCCATAGATGTATGCTGCATCTCCGAAACGTGCATTCAGAATTCGAGTAGCGTCATTCATTTAACCTCACCATATTAAAATCAAGAACCCTCTCGACCTACTCTTCGTGTATCTGCAAGCCCCATTGCTTCTTCCCAGGGTATCGCTGATATAGGTCTAGCATTAAGTTCTAAAGCAGAAGCAGCTCTTTTACACTGGATCCCAGTAGATAGTCGCTTGTGTTCTGCCCGACTAAACGGGACAATAAGGACTCAGAAAGATAGGGACACCCGCCGTTGCCTCTTCGTTGGTGAGTTTGACAGAATGCTTTCAGACCTCCTACAAAAAGTGGGGCGCTCTGATATAGTGATAGTGACTGGTGACTTCAATGCTCAAGTAGGTAGACTAAGCAAAAAGGAATGACACCTGGGTGGATCTCATTTTGTTGCAATTCAGAGAACAGATAATGGCGACCGTCTACTGCAGCTAAGCTCAGATAGACACCTATTTTTAGAAAATACTAACTTTAAGCACAAGGCAAAACATCTTCTGACATAGTGACCCCCAAAGTCGCCTCAACGCTGGACTCAACTAGATCACATCGCTATCAGCCATTGATGGAGGGGTTCGATAGAGGACTGTCGCGCGTTCTGGAGCACATGTTTAGATTCAGTTCATGCTCTAGTGAAAGCGCATATTTGTTTGCGACTTACCAGACGTAGGAAAGACACCGCAAGAAAATCTATTAGGGTTCTACCTAATGATAGCTTTGCTATGAATATATTTCAGGAGTAACTAGAAGAACAGTTGGTTGGCCATGTAGTAATTGATGCCCACCCGAAGGCAGTTTGGAACGATACCCAAAATGCTGTGGAAACAGCAGCGACATCTGCCAGTAAGGTAAACCATAAGGCTACGAAGAAGCCTTGGATCTCAGTAGCATCTGCTTAACTTGGAAACTCATCCCGTCTGGCTCTCAACATGATCCAGAGTGGAGTCAGCTTAAGAGAAGGCTGATAAAAGGCCTTCGCAATGATCGTGCGGTTAGAGAAAGCAAGAAGGATGAAAATAGCAGCGTCGATAGGTAACAGTAGACAACTATTCAGATTGCTTAGAGAAACCACTATTAGAAATCCGAATGTGAGTGAGACTATTTCGGAAAAGGATGGTCTTATTATCCATTCTCAATCCAGGAGATTGGACCGATGGGCAGAACACTTTAGGGATCAGTTCAACTGGTCTTCAGCCACACTTCGGTTGCCCACGATCCCCAGTCATCCTGAATGGCAAATCGATATAAGTCCTCCGAGTTTTCTCGAAGTCGAAAAAGCTATGGGAAATATTAAGGGAGGGAGAGAAGCAGAACCTGATAGGCTTACCCCTGACATTTTTAAGCATGGTGGTCAAGCTTTAACAGTTAGATTGACTGAGATCTTAGGTAGAATCTGGGAACTGGGCGTAACCCCTCTGATCGGTCTCAATTACTGATTATTCCAGTCTATAAGAATGGACAAAAATCCTCCTGTGATGGACATAGCCGAGTCAGTTTGACTGATACGGTATCTCATACTGGCTCCAATAATACTGCGACGCCTAACTAAAGCTCATGAGTAGCAGACTAGAGAAAACCAGGCTGGCTTCCGACCTGGACATGGCTTTATAGGCTACATATTCATACTACAACAGCCCCTGGAACAAAGACACGTCCGATAATGTTTGTTTTCCTCAACCTTAGAGCGGCGTTTGACTCTGTTGATCGTGAGTTTCTGTGGCAGTGTCTGTCATTGAAAGGTGTACCAAAGAAGTGCATTGACCTTATATAAGCTCTCTACTCGAACACTTCTTGTCGAGTGACAGCTTATGGCGAACTGTCATCCGAATTCTTTACTTCAAGTGATATCTGTCAGGGTTGGAAACTTTCTTCATTCTTGTTTAGTTTTTTCATAGACATGCTTCTAGATATAACATTATCTTTTTCTGAACTTTCAGGAGTAGACCTACGAGCAGACTCATTGGTTGACTTAGAATATGCCGACGACATAGTTCTATTTTGTGGAGACGCTGACAAAATGCAGAGTTTTCTGAACACTTTAAGCAACGACACAAGTATTTTTGGAATGCAATTCTCTTCTCCGAAATTCAGTGTTGCCTCAGAATTGGTTTGAATCGGCACTTGAACTAGTGGTGAAGAGTGAAGAAGTTGAGCATGTTGACCGCTTCAGTCCAGGTCTCTGACCATCGATTACTATCGTCTCGTGGACTCCAACCGAGTACCCTGCAGCTACCAACATGGCTCGGTCCACTTGTCAGTGACTTCATAGATTTGTAACATGTTTTGGTTTGGCCTCCCCTAGCTTTCTTCAAACTTACTCCTACACCACGAAACGTAGCTCCACGATGCAGTTGGTGGTTGGGTATTCGTAACACGTGTCCCAACCACCTCAACTGATGAAGTTTCATAACTTAAACTAATAATCTGCTATCCTTACATAGTACTCGTTTCCGAACAACAGTATTGCTAACTCAATAGTCCCGAGATAAACGAACAATGCTTCGGAGACACCTATGATCGAATGCTGGTAACCTACGAATAAATTCTACTTCTTCTGGTCATGTTTCGCATCTATAATGTAGGGCTAGGCAAACTGCTGCACAGTAGGCTCGTTTCTTCTGTTAGCAGACGGATATCTTGCCGATGCCATAAGTGACACAAGTTATGGTTTTATGTAATGAAATATCTTTCTCATCCCAGCCTGTATATTAAGAAATCCCATAACCATCTGTCCTTTTTGACGGTAATCAAGGTGTATTTTCCAGATATGTTGGGAGTTACTTAGAACTCTGCTTGAAAGTATTGACTTATAAATATTTCACATTAATCTCAAATCCACACTCTTTCATAGAGCCTCAGTTTCCATCGCTGCAGTTTTGCAAAATGCTTAGTATATTTTCAAAGTTTAAATTATTATACCTCTTGTATTTCTAAGCTTTGCTGAATTATTCATTTTCAATAGTGGTTTGAGTTGGGAGTCTAAATTAATTATGCAACTTTTGGTAGCTGGATAGTTATAAAAACGAATTTGTTTCGTGCTTAACCATTCCTCTGGAATTAAGATTTGCGCATCAGACTTAAAAATGCTTATTGCAGGAATTTGTTAGACGTGCGCATTCATCCTTATCACCCTGAGTACACGTTATATTTTTGGTTTAATGTGTAAAAGTACTCCCAGTTCAAAATTGCTCTGTATGTTGATGAAGTAAATCATTTGTTTCGAAACTTGATTGTATTCAACGTTTATTGAAATTCATAGTGTACCAAACTGGATCAACGAGAATCTTTCAAAACTCAAAGTTCTACCCTAAGCCGGGTACCTACTAACAGTGATCCTAATGAGACACATGCTTTTCAACGAAGTGTAATGTTTCCACTGGACAGTTGTATTGCACCGGTGGTTTTAGATTTACGAACCGATTTCTGTTATCCTTTCTTATCGTGTTTCGAGAAGCCACGTTGGGACCGTTTTCTTTCATCTCTTAAACCGATCGGTCTGTCAATTCTAATCAATAATTGCCACTGTTCTATTGGGAAACAGCGAATCAGCTTTTTTGAAAGAGTAAATGCAACTCAAAAGTATTTCAATTCATCATCGTGTATTACTGCACTACCACTTACTTTCTGTCTGTGTGGTCTTGCTGGTCAGATAGGATTTCGTGATGGAGCTTTGAATGGTTTTGTTACTCATGGATGCTTGGGTGCTTATTCCGTATGCTCACCTGCATATTCTTCTAACTCTAACGTTGATGATGTGAACAACAAATTACTTTCAGAAGAAATCCTTTCAACGAAAGAAAATACAAATAACGTAGGTTTGTTTACATTTCGTATCTGTGTTTGTGATGTTATTTTGTTTCTGCCTTACTGACTAACTTTTATGGTTCAAATTAAATATTACCTCATTTCTCATAGAATAACTGACCTTTTTTGCTTCTTATCCCTAAGAACCTTCTGAGGCTAATGATCCGTCAGTGTAACAGCCTGCGAATAGTTGTATCAATCCCGATGATTGAATTTCTTAGTAAAATAATAATGCAAAATGCAAGCAAAGCTGAATGATTAGCATTAACATAATAGACTGAAAACTCATTTCACTTATGCTACCATTTTGGTGACTTCACAGTAGCTTGTTACTTTCAAACAAGCTTTGTATTGAACCATAGTATTACTTTGCTGATTTTTCAAACAGATATCCTCTATCTTCATAGATGTTGTTTACGTATTAGTTACAGTCCATCGTTGGAAACATAGGGAGATTTAGATCGGTGACTTAGACAGATCCATTCTTTTTCCTCTCTTGTTATTTGACGTAATCTTCTTTCGTCTTCATTTCTTTATCCCTTCGAGTTTGTCACTAATGTTCGTATTACTGTCACTACCCCTTTGATGTTTTATCTCTGTTCTGATGTTAAGTGTGACCACTTTCAACGATGATCATTTCTAACAGACCGTGTTTACGTCTGTTTGTCTGATACACTTTTCGTCTGGATGAGTCTTGTGTTCCTTAACTCTCAAAATCCATCGGTTATTGGATTCCAAATACCGTGTTGTTAAGTGCGTATCAGTTTCATCATTAGGGATTAGATTTCCGTTTTTACATAACACTTGTTTCTAGCATAAGACGATAAATATGGTATTATTTAGGGTTGTCAGTAAGATTCTAGTTTAGGAAACATAGAGGATCAAAACTGGTTTTTAACTGAACATCGTCATACAACACTTCATAAACAGTATTATGATGATTCAAATAGTATGTAGTCAAACGATATTTGAATAAATACACATACTCTTACTTTTGTATGCATAGGTGTTTTGATTTTTTAAGTAGTCCGTACAAAAAATGTAAGACATATTTTGCTGTTAAATGCACCCATTTTAGTCGGTTGGATTTCTAACATATTTCAATGCCAATTATTGGACTTTGATTTTTACTCAATTTAGGATCGAACTCATTTGGCATATTGCTTTAGCTCTGTCTTCTCAGACCCAAACATGCAGGGCGGTTATCAGCTGTTGTCTCAAGGTACTGGTGAAATTCTTGCTAGTTTGTGTTCTGATGTTTGGGATGGGCGGGACATCGTACCACTATCAGAGAGAGAACGTGAACTAATCTTGGGATTTCACAATCGGCATCTGTCATCTGCATACTGTATTGGATTCGCTTATTCTCCGTTGGTTGATAAAATTGAGGAATCTTACAAACTGTTGTTGGGTAATCTTTCCAGTTCGTCAGATATCTTCGTGCTTCGTTTACCAGTAGTAAGATTTAGTGCATCTAATTTCTATTTTCATCTATTCTTTAATGAGCTAATTAAACATGTTTACATATCTAAACTCTGTAAATCACTACCCTATCACTGTAAATACGTGCGTATTTATTGTCTTTGTATTAATTTTGCCTTTTAAAGTATGGTGGACATTTTTCTAATAAAGATTGAAGTTTGTTTGCAAAATCACTGAATTTCATCAGTGGTCGATAGATTATCTCTTTCTAGTACTTGATAGTTCAGCAGTACGAACTCTTGATATCATCCTAATACATTTAAACTCAGTCATACCCGTCGGGTCACTGAGTCTTTATTGAATTTCACCAAATCAAGATAGATAATTATAGGATATTCAGTATTGAGTATCTCGGAATAAATTCATAATTATTTAAATCTCATTATCTGGGATAGTTAGTCAGTCCTGTTTTGTAACACAAAGTAGAAAAATTATTACGATTTTATTAAGAAAGACCATTTTACTCTTCTTTGTTTTGTGATCAACCCGCTAATAATTATCGAAGACCACACATTTTTAGAAGAGCTGTCAGAATGTTAACTCGTGGATACTTTCACTAAGTTCCTAGCCAATACTCGGCATGGAAATTTTCAGTACAGTTCGTCACTATATTGTAAAGTCAGTCAAAATATGTATGTATAGACACTCGTAACTGATAAAAAGCTCTGCTTTTAACTGCTGACGTTTTTATCATTATCAAACTGCTTCCACCAAAAATAGTTATTGATCTTTTAAAGCACCCGGTGTTCCGATCAGTATTCAGGAAAATGAATCGTTATATTAGACCGACATAGAAAGTAATCAAATTCTTTCCTCACATGATGGAAAATATGCAGACACAACAACTTCAATCATTAGTTCATCAATACAAATTACTGGAATTATCACTGTTAGGAGAGAATGTATTCAACTAAAGGAACGGGTATGGAAAATTCTCTGGTTAAAATACACATCCATGTAAAATAGTGAAAATGTTTGGAACTATAGAGTTGTGGAGATTGTTGAATTTCACTGGAATCACGAACTAACCACAGTTACACGGCCATTTAAAACCTCGGAGCACTGGATGGGCGTCTCGTCCTTATACGGAACTTCTTAACAGAGTCCCATACTAGAACGAGACGTCTGTACACTGATATTTAGAGGAATATTTCCTTCTGACAGTGTGTATCGCTTCAAATTGTCTAACTTAATAAATCATTATAACTGTATAAATTAAAATTTCTAGATTCCCATCAGTGCATGGCAATATTCCATTTTTTGCTTTTCTCTCTCCTTATTTAACTAAGCTTGATGATAGTTCACCAGCAATACAGCGAAAGGTATTGAAACACGTAGTTTGTAGTCGTTCGTTTTCAAATCGTTCTCCACTACTACATGTCATGGACAACAACAGTACCAACAACAGCAGTACCAATAATAACAGGATTTCTCATTATAGTGATATTTCTATAGAATCCGGAGATAATTCGAAATTCAAAAGAGTACCACGTGGTTGTCGACTAAATTTTATAAAGAATATGAAAGGCTTCAGTTTTCATTCATTCTCTAAATTTTTGCGGCAAACCGATCGACAAAAACACGGGTGTAATAAGGAGAAAGAAAGGTATTCAAATGATAAACTTCTTAAACGTTTACTGAATAAGAGAAGTGATAGGTTCTCTAAAAAACGTGGAATTGGTCCTCATCGAGTCAGTAATGATTTTGGTGAATATGATACTAACTGTTTGGTTTTGAATGAATTTCCAAATGCGAATTGTGTTTCAGAAACTGTTAATCATCGCGAAAGTAATAATGACAACTTGGATCGTGATGAAAAGTGAGTAGGGCGATTTTCTTTTGTCATCCGTTTTTCTAGTATAATACTAATGTATGTGGTCTAACTACAATGATCATACCTAGAAAATATTCCCTTGACTTATCTTAAACGTAGTTCTATGTATAATAATCAGATAGTGAGAGAAATTGAAGCGATTCACCTAAATAAGCTAGTCACCAAAAATAACGTCAAAGAATTTAGGACATGGACAACTTCTTGAAACTAGATGCTGGAAATTTGGGATAGGTACTGTAAAGAGCATTTCAACCAGTCTACAATTGATCATATTCTGAATACGTTATTGAATCACAACCAAATTTGGAAAGACCGCGATAAACCAGAAATAAAATAACAGAACCTAGTTGTTTGTGTTCAAAATGTTTTGATAATTATTGAGAAAGCTACCGGTTAAAGTGACTGATTCTATCTCGAGCTAATTCCGTCCTGGACTATTAACAAGGACAGAGCTCTTTTTATTATCGTTACAAATGAAGTAGCTTGGTCAACAGGATCTTTAAGATGCTAGAGTTCATAATCATTCAGCATGCAGCTATAGATCGGGCACAACAAGTTCGATAAAACTAAAATTGAAAGCTTAGAAACTAATTCATCTATAAAATCTTCAGGAGTGTCAGTAAAGTTTGTGCTGATCTGCTGCTAAAAGATAAATTCATTAGTTTGTAACGTATGTGCTTTTACTGGCTTTTAATCATAGTCATCTTCAATCTATTCAAAGTATATTATTTGTTTACGGTTTAGAGGAAGAGTCCCAAAACGTAAAATCAGTCAGTTATTCAGATGTCCAACTTTCCGTAAATTAAGGTTGTCTCAACAAGTAACATCCATGATAAACCACATTTCCTAACCTGACACTCAGTATTAGTTGAAATAGAATTAGTTTAGAAAAGCTGTCACTGGCCAAACTGAAACTTTGTATCAGCCTAGAAAGCTACAACCTATCTTCTGAAACCATTTGGAAAGACTTTGATATGATACTCAGTAATAAAAACTAGCGGCCCTGTTCTCAATAATCCAACTACAGTAACTCCGTATCTTTGCGGATTCTTATTATGTTTTGGTCATTTTGATGCTCATATATTTCTGTTTTTCTTTTAGATTTATATACTTCAAACCAGTGCACTTTCTTTCAAGGTTTTATGTTATTACATCTCTTTCTCTTAGTCCACCTCCGAATTAATCAAATCCAATTTATAAAAAAGTGTTACATTTACGCGTCTTTTGACCGTAGCTACTACCTGGACGTAGTGCTTGGGCTTGCCTGTTGTGATGACCCAACAGATCTATATTGTCTGGAACGCCTGTTCCTTTAGGGTTTATCATGCCAGGCATTTCGATTGGAGAACGGTTAGACCGAAATCAGTAAGTTAGGGTCTGAGGTTAGATGTTTTCCTCAGACAACCAGTATCTTCAGAGATGCTACCTTCTCACAACGGAACGAAGGGAGTAGAAAAGATAGGCCATAAAAATGTCGCACCTCACTATACCCTAGAGATTTCCGTCTCCCGCGGCGAGGCCTTTTAAAGAGTAGAACTAATACGTAAAAAGACCGTGCGCGACCGGCCTCAAGCAGTTGTCATTTGGACTCTGAGCTCGTACTCCTGGGTCGATAAAACCAACGCTAACGCAACTTCCTTTTCATGACCCTCAAGCAGTGCCCTTCCACGGTGTGGGCGGTCGGGAACTGAAGTTCGCCGTTATGCTCTTAACAGCACACATACCAATTCGCTCACTATAAAATCTTTTTCACTCTCTTGTCCCCACGGCTAATCCTTCTCGTGCCTCTAGTGCTAACGGTTTGATTACACGAAACATCATTCCTGGTCTCTTTAAACCACGCTATAAACTACATGTTGGTGGAGTTTTCGATGCCCGGACCTTGTGCCAAATAGAACAACAGGCTTCCTTAGTTGGGACATCAGAATCTCGCATCACCCATGTATGGTGCATCTCCGAAACACATACAGCATCCGAGTATAGTCATTCATCTGAGTGCAGAAGGTCCTAATCGATTAAACCCTTAGATTTTTAGGGATGGTGGTCTAGTTTCAGCAGTTAGATCGACTGAGATCTTAGCTGAAATGTGGAAACTGAATGTGATCCCATCTGACTGGTCTCAAACACTGATTGTCCCAATCTATAACAAAAGGCGAAAGTTCGCTCGTAACATTCACAGAGGAATCAGTTTAACTAATATATATATAAAATATCAGCTTTAATGATGCTCCGACGCCTAACTAGTGCTCGAGAAAACCAGGTTGAATTCAGACCTGGACGTGGATGCATAGACCAGAAGTTCACACTACGTCAGGTCCTAGAACATAGACACATATTTCGTCCTCCAAGATTGGGTGTTTTCCTCAACCGTAATGCAGCATTTGACTATGTTAGACCAATAGTGTCTGTCATTGAAAGGCTCACCAAAAAAGTATGATAACCTTGTACAGACCTGATGGCCTGTTGTATGGCGAAATCTCGGCACGGATACAAAAGGCTCCACTGGCTTTTGCCACTTGCGTCATCTGTGGCATCGGCAAGATATCCGTCTGCTAACAGAAGAAACGAGCCTACTGTGCAGCAGCTTGCCTCGCCCTACATTATAGATGCGAAACATGACCAGAAGAAGTAGAATATATTCGTAGGTTACCAGCATTCGATCATAGGTGTCTCCGAAGCATTGTTCGTTTATCTCGGGATGTCTACGACAAACTTAAACAAGAATGGAGAGAGTGGACAGCCCTGACGGACACCACTTGATGTAGAGAATTCAGATGACAGTTCGCCATAAGCTCTCACTCGACCAGTGTTGTCGAGTAGAGTGCTCCTATAAGGTTAATGTACTTCTTTGGTACACCTTTCAATGACAGACACTGTCACAGACCCTCACGATCCACTGAGTCAAATGCCGCTTTTAGGTCTGCGCCTAAGCTGACTTCTTTCTTCATCATGTTCATAGTCAGGTGAGATGCGTTTTCGAGCATCCATCAGTTCGGTAGATGCGACTGAAATCCACGGCTTCATCCTAGCCTTATGGTTTACCTTGCTAGCAGATATCACTGCTGTTTCCACAGCCTTTTTGATATCATTCCAACCTGTCTCCGGATGGGAATCACTTGCATGGTCGCCTAACTGTTTTCCTAGTTCCTCCTGGAATAATTTCTTCGCCCTATTATAATTAAGTAAAGCCCTAAGAGGCTTTCTTACGGTGTCTTTCCTACGTCCAGTAAGCCTCAAATAAATACGAGCTCGCACTAGGGCATGATCTGAATTTAAACTTGTGCCCCAGAACGAGCGACAGTCTTCTATTGAACCTCTCCATCGGTGGTTGATGGAGATATGATCTAGTTGCGTCCAACGTTGAGACGACTTCGGGGGTCGCCAGTTCAAAAGATGTTTTTCCTTATACTTAAAATTAGTGTTTGCTAGAAATAGGCGGTTATCTGAGTACAGTTGCAACAGACGGTCACCATTGTCTGTTCTTTGAGCCGCGACACCATAACATCCACCAAGATGTCTTTCATTTTCACTTGGTCTACCTACTTGTGCATTGAAGTCACCAGCCATTATAACTATATCAGAGCGCTTAGCCTTTTGGAGGAGGTCCGAAAGCTTTCTGTAAAACTCATCTTTTACATCATCTGGACTGCAGTCAGTGGGGGCGTAGGCTGATATGACGAAGAGGCAGCGACGAGTGTTCTTATCCTTTCGAAACCTTACTGTCCCGTTTAGTCGGACGGCGCATGAGCGACTATCCACAGGGATCCAGTCAAGGAGAGATTTTTCTGCCCTACGACTCAATGCTATACCTACGTCAGCGAGACCCCGCGAAGCAGCAGCAGGGCTACCGGATACACGAAGGGTAATTTGAGCTGCTTCTTTATCTTGACATGGTGAGGTCAAGTGAATGATGTTACTCGGACACTGTATGCGCGTTTCCGAGACGCAGCATACATCGATGGCACGAGATTCTAAAGTCCTAGCTAATGATGCCTGTTGCCCTATTTGACACAATGTCCGTACATTGAATGCTCCAACATGTAGTTTAGAGCGTGGTTTCAGGAGACCAGAAATGACGTTTCGTGAACTCGCATCGTTTGCATTAGCTGTGCAGTGAGATAAGGGAATGTGAGTAGATTTAAGTGTGGAGATAAGGGAGGTGTGTGTGGGTGTAGGAAGGATTTGATTTCGACCAATTTGGTCTCGTGTGCTGTTACGCGTATGAGGTCGGTTGTCATTTCCCGGCTGCCCACACCGTGGAAGGTTGTTTCTTGAGGAACATGAAAAGGAAGGTAGATTAGCGTTGGTCTGAACGACCTGCGAGCATGACCGCAGAGCCCAAGGGACAACTGCTTGAGGCCGGTCACGCACCTCCTTTTGATGAGAAGTTTTTTGAGTGTTAGCTCCGCTCTTGAAAGCCGTTAGTGGGCACCCTTACCGACGGAGACGGAAATCCGTGAGGTAGGTTGAGGTGTGACATTTTTAGGGTCGACCCCTTCTAACCCTTCCTTCTTTGTGAGAAGGCAGCATCGCTGCAGATGCTGGTTGTCCGAGGGAAACACCTTACTGCTATCACACCCGTCTGCAGTCAGCAGTATGACGTCGCCCTCAGACCTTGAGTAGCTTCTTTTAGTCTCATCGTCCTCCAATCGACCTACCTGGCATGGTAGAATCTTCAGGGACATATGTTCCAGCCAATATAGCTCGTTCGGGTCATCACGATAGGCAATCCCGACCACCACGTCAAGTTAGCAGCTTCGGTCGGGACCGGTGATACTCCTGTTACCTCTACTACTATGGGATTTGAATTGACAATCGCGTGTCTGTGCTAATGTGGTATGGCAACTTGAACTGATGTACGTCTGTACGAAGTTCCACGCTGTAGCTCGCTGATTGTTATTGTTCATCTAAACGTAAAACACTATGATTATTTTGAAATCTATAAGTCATTCGTTAACTTGCACACAAAAGCTAGTCTCTCTATTACCACACTTTAATATTTAGTCTATGGCTGTTTGGTAAGGTGATCTTTGTCTTTTAATATCTTAGACCCCTGTCGTATATACTAGTTGTTTTTCACATCCGAATTCCTCCTGTAAATATTGCTCACAATAACCACTTTTTGTTGTTATTTTATAGGACTAATGTACTTATTGATCAGAAAGAAGTGGAAAATTTATTGAGTAATCAAATATTTTTAGGTTTGGTAAGTATGCAATATCAAGCAAATCCTCAAGTTGTGAAGTCCATCAAACAACTTCACCAAGCTTGTATACGATTCGTGCATTTTTCTCGAGTAAGTGACAGTGCTGTAGTTAACGGCATCGTGTTTACTTCATACGAAATTACCTTTGAAATATTCGCTAATATCCATAGCTTTTAACAATAATTTTGAGGGTCCCATCAATTACTACATTTTGTCCTCCGTTTCCTCAAAGTATTTAGCTAAAAGAAAGTCAATAAACCTATACAGTTAATTTAAACATTCAATTATATCATGGTTCTAAAAACCCAGTAACCTAGTTGTACCACGATCTGCCGTTTAAAAAGTGTAGCGCTGAAGTCCGTGTACACTTTTACTGATAACTTGTTAGTTTTTATTATGATTTTTCAAGAAAAAGTCACTGTGTAAAAAGGGACTTTTTAACAGGATATTTTCTTGTTTGACCATATTTTTAACTGAAAATTGTGATGTCAGCTGAATAGTTTGTTTATATTTGGACGCTGTGCCTTCCCATAATATATGTTCAATTATTTCTAGCAGTAACGATAATAATGTTTTGATGGGATTTCGCTGATATCTTCGAGCTACGTAATTTTCAGTCTTATTTTTTTCATAATCAGCGTATAATGTCTCGATGTGTCTGAAAAATATGCTTCATACATTGTCATTAATTATATGGTTATTATCAAATAGGCTACTATGATACTTAGTTCCTCGTTCAATGTAAACTATTGAACTACCTTTTCAAGATTTTCTAAATGATCAATAAAACTGTTCGCCAATAGTTCTTTTTACTGTACATGCTTACTTATCCACTCTTAGAACTACCTTCAGTGCTGTCACTAAGTGAATTCTCCAATCTTAGTATTTTGTAAGTTGTATATTTCGAAATACTCTACTGTAAATTATTCAATATCTCTCTTAAATAACGAGAGTTCGCCTTCAGCTATTTCGTAAATGTTTCTTTTCGTATATTTTGTTAAGGAAAATGAACTTCGAAGTAGAGTGTTTGCTGAACGTTTGGGCTTAGAATGCGGTTGGAATTGTCATATATCGCTTAAAAGTCCTAATTCTGTCAATAATCGCAAATCCGTTGATCTGCCTGAGGAATTACGTAAAAGTAATAAATTTTCCGTTGGTACTAATTTGTTCGTCACTGAAGAAAAATACTTTGTTGGTGAGTAATCTGATCTTACATTAATTTTAACAAACATTTTTTACCATCTGACCGCGTTTTTATTATTTACTTTCGATAAGGTCCTCATCAGACTAAACGATGGTCAAGTTCTCCGGCACTAACAACGTCTTATCCTTCAGTAAGTAGTTGTATTTACCTAAGATTTTTTTGATAACAGTACTATAATACTTTTTTATATTGAAACTCGATTGGTACAAATCAGCAAGTCGGGGATATGTGTCTTGTAAATGTTTCCATTTAGTTTAAGACTATTTTTATAGCTGCTATCCAATTATCATCTAAAACTGCTATTTACATCCCTAATATTATTTGTAAATTTCATTTTCACTTATGATGTACGATATCCATGATTTGAATGCGATATATGTTAATCCCACAAACTGACTAATTGTAATTTCCTTACTTATTGTACTAAGCTAATTGTTTTTATGTTTAGAAACAGATAAAGTTTAAAGCAAAAGTTGATCTTGTTATAACTATAGCCTTCCCACAGACTCTGCACTCGCGAATATTGTGTTTACAGTTTTAGAGGTATATCTGTAGGACAACTTAAATCCTACATGTACTTCTTCGGTACACCTTCCATTAACAGACACTCCCATAGAACCTCACAATGAACAGAGTCAAATGCCGCTCTAAGGTCCAAGGTAACTCATAATTCTGTGCTTACACGCACTTTTTGTGTTGAGTCATTGAAGATCGTCAAGTTCACCATGTTTCATGATGGTGTGGTGCATTGAATTGAAATCATAAGTCAGCGATAGATAGTCAAGACACAGTTCCCTCTTCTAAGTTGTAGGTAAGGCAAGTTTTTATAAATAGAAGAACAGAGTAAAAAGGTTTGAGCTTTTATATATTTCTTTATTGTTTGGAATTTTCAATACACTATTTGTGAAAGTAACACGAACAATATTTGGTAAACAATTACTTATTATTAATTTATATTTTACAAACTCTTGGAAAGAAATTCGGTTTTACTTCTTATCCACAGGTCCTTCAATCTGATCCATCGCCTAAGTATTTCTTAGAAACCTATTGCAAATCACTCCCTTTACGTCCGAATTTCCAACAAATAGACTCTAGTTTTCAATCTTCATGCTCTCCTGATCATAATAACAGTAATTTCACTCATGCTATATCTACCAGTTACCTGCAGCAAATTCGTTCAAATGAAATTGGTGCAAAAGAATCATTTGGTCTTTATCACTTGTCCTCATCAACTACTTCAGCTAGTTCTGTATCACTCTCGGTAGATGAACAAAGTGATAATTCTGAAGAAATAAAAATCTCCGAATTATTAGTCGGAAACAAGGTAATTTTCGGTAGTTTTGTTGTGATGGTGTTCAGAATAATTGTATCATATTGCAATATCATCTTAAATACCGAACAAAATAAATGAACGATTTTACGGTTCGTAAGTTACAATGATTCATTTTTGATTTCAATATAAAAATCACTTCACTAATATTAAAGGTTTAAAGTTGGTGCTTATTTCGAGGAATATGTTGTATGTTTTCATAAAACCCAGTACCTAATTCACAGATCATTGTGGCACCTTATATTTCACTTAATAAAATAAAAGCCCTCATCAACAAACTATATGACAGCCATATAGAAAGTAAATACTCTATTAGGTGGAGAAAATTATCCGTACTGTAGATAAGCAGTGAACTCTTGATTCAAATGTTTCTATAAATCGGGACAGTTTTTCGAAATCTTGATAAGTATACATTTGATTATTCATTCATCAGGCCAGCATTGGTTTTGTAGTGAAAGAGAACACAGGTGGGGCAACCGAATTGTATTTAACGAAAATTACAGTTACTCAGTCAAATCGGAAAACCATATCGTAAATCGTTCATTTGCAAAATAACAGTTCATCCTATAGAACTGGACTGTTCCTGTTGCAAAACATCAATCCATTGTCACTATTCATGCGTTTTATACAAATTCCATTGTTTTCTAACTCTTCCTTTCTTGATCTTCCCCCATCTTCTGCTGCCAGACATTACGTTGACGCTCACGTCGTATACTACTTATAAGTAGCTCGCACCACAGCACCACAGTTTGACTTATAGTCAAAATATACATTTTCCTCTTGCTGTTATTTATCTCAGTAGTCCATACCAATACTTTTTTAGACCCATAGTCTTGATTTTTAGCATTTTTTTAAGCGTTGCTTTGAAAACATCACAAAACTTTTTTATGCTTCAAAAGAGGCTTCCTCCAAAATACCTGTAATTAATTAATCTTGAAACAAAAATTTACCTGAAATCCTTTACATTTTGATTGGTATGATTATGTAATGACTTTTTATTGTTTAGTATGATCAGTGGTTTAGTCTCCTGTACTAACACAGTTCTGATGCTCCATCGTCAAGTCTTGACATTTTTTAACGATTCGTCGTTTACTGTGTAACAACATCATGTCAAGCCCATATGATCTTTTCTTGTTGTCGGGACAAACCGAATAATCCCATCATTCACTCATCTTCTGAACGTGTTAACTATTCGTTTATCACCTTGATTATTTTTATTTTAGGTGTACGTGTGTATTGCTTACTTCGCTTATTACATGTCTAGCTTATTTTCATTGTTGATACTTAGTCATGTTTTGTCGATTGAGTTGGCACACTCCACTTCGCTATGCTTCGATTTCACGTTTCTCGTTATTTTTTTTCCGTTTGCAAGCACGAACTTATGAAATAAATTCATCCAACTTAAACCGCATTAGGCTTCTTTTCATCACTGCTGTCGCACAAACGGGGTAAACCGAAATGTATTATACCGAGATTAAAAGGAAGTTTTATTTCATTAGCATACTTAATCATTCGTCTAATGATGGATTCGAATCCACATCACTAAATCCTGTTTTATTCGGAGATCTAAAGTGCTTATCACACAAGCTGACAGGCTTGATTGGTTACTCGTTACTTTGATGAGTATCACTGATATGATTTCTGAGAACATAATTACTGCTCATCATTTTTACAATCAACTTGATGCAGACATGTTGTGGTTCTGCAGCACTTAAATTTTATGCATTTGGTTTACCTAGTCTTATTTAACACATAATTATCATTCAAATCTCTTATGCAATGTCTCTCAAAACTTGGGATGTAAAGATACACAGGGTTACCAAGTCGCATTAGTTTTTCGAACGGATTTTCTATTATATTTTTTTTTATGTACAACGAACAGTTGATCCTAAATATATTCCAGTTGTCTTTTTGATCAACTCGCTGTATTTTAACAAGTAGTGGTTTGTTGTATGTAGTATTTTGATTGCTACTTCACTTAGTACTAAGTTAACGTTTGCATTATTTTTTTTCCTTTACAGTCCCGACTTCCATGTGGAATCGATAGCATACGCCCACATTTAGAAAATGTCGATAACGTCCCATTACAAGTATCGCTGTTTACTGATTGTACCCCCAAAGGTGGTTAATTGTATTAAATTATATGGTTATTTAAGCAACATATTTTATATTTTTTAAAATCCTAACCCTATGACTTGAGTGACGACCTCGTCTTTTAATACAGTTAAAATAACTTTTTACACTGGAAATCACTAATTCAACATATTCTTCTGTCATTTGATACAAACTTCTTTCCTGAGCACCGTATGATATACTCTTGTTTAATCATCTTTCAACCTATATTGTGACAAATTATTATTGTGTGTGACTTAATGATTGTCCCTGACTTTCTGACCTTTTTGAAGAGAGAGATAGATTACAACCTAGTAGACCAGTGACTGTTGGTCGAACACCTAAGTGACGGGAGTAGCGGGAGTAACTATGACTCTCTTAAGGTAGCCAAATGCCTCGTCATCTAATTAGTGACGCGCATGAATGGATTAACGAGGGGGGGTTGTAGTGGCGGCTACCTCTTCGTGGTCCCGCTAGGCAACGTGGCGGTGGATACATCGCTGCGGCTAAACGCCGTTGAAAGGGATGTAGTAGGATGATCGAGGGCGGCCCTGGACCCTATGTTCGGGGAAGCAGCCGCAGACATCCTGTACTACTGACGCCGACCCTATGTGGTTGTCCCTTACATGCTTCACTCGATGTTGTGTGTGAACTGGCGTCGAGGCCCCTTAAACATGGGTCTCAAGTTTGGTTCCGGTGCTTTAGTGTTGAAAAGGGCATTGAACACCAATGATGTCTGCCCACTTCTGTGCGACGAGCCCTGCTTGGCTGAGCGCTTGCGTTTGGTCGAGTTCATGACATCTTCCTCATGGAAGGGTGTACGTTCTAGCTGACCTTGTGGGACAAACTCGATCTCTAGCTTAATGCGGGGTAAGATGGGCCTCGATCGATTGTATCAACGCAAGGCAGTTGGAGGCCAGACGGTTGGAATGGCTGCTGGTTAGTGCACTGCTTGGGTGGCTCGGTAACCTGCTACGGGGTCCCTTGTCCGGAAGGATGGGCCCGCCCTGCCGCCCTCGCCGATTGGGGATTGTGGGCTGTGGTTTGGTTGGTGGGATTTCTTGATTCATAAGTGCCCGTGCAGGGGCCACTGCTCGTGTGCGTGCTTTTTGGATGTCCGATGTGTCTGCAGACCAAACCGGACAACATGTATGTACCCGAAAGGGGCAGGGGTCAGTACTGTTGGCAACAGTGAGTATCCTTGCGCTGTATATCAACGCAGCGATGTGCATGTGCAGCAGGCATGTTGGTTGACCATGAATATAAGTGACAACTTCTTAGTACACTATCTTCTTAATTGTTTCAATACCGTTCACTCACTATTTACTGTTTTATTTTTATATGAAGCAGCATCGAATCCAACCAGTCAATAAAACTCACCTAGTCATCAGTCGATGATGCAAAAATCAATGTACTTACTTTTAACTAGACTACAATTATTTGTAATTCCTTTTTCTTGGGATAGTAATGGATATAGTTCAAAATCTCAGGCAACTGTAACTATCCTTTTTCACCTTTAAAAAAAAACTATAAAATGAACTGTGAGTAAAAAATATTTACAAATGAAATATATCTAAACTACCTTACTGTAAATATCATCATCTCTTGTATGTTCTTGTTGACCTACATACAACGTTTGATCACGGGTTTGTAAAGCGTGTTGTTTTATGATTCCCTTGTGAAAAAATTCATACATATTTAAAAACTTTCACTCGTTTTTTGAACTTTTTCATCAATATAACTCATTCATTTCAGTTCATCTCTGATAACTAGTTATGTCTGGTACATATATGTGCTCCAAACTTGAGTTTATCTTCTAATGTTCAGTCAGTCAGTCAGTCAGTTGCAACGTAGAACTTCGTACGTAAGTACATCATCACAGAGATATAATTGTCAATTCAAATCCAATAGTAGAAGAGATAGTAAAGGTATTAGAAGTAATCGGAGAGGTTAGAATTAGAAGATATTATTCACGAAGTATGATTTAATGAGATAAGTTTAGAAAGTAAAAACTAGAGGTGTTGAAGAACCCAGAAGATTAAGATTTGAGAGAACACAAAGAATAAATGCACTGGCGCCATTGCGAACGATTTTGAGCCATGTCATTCAAGGTCTCTAACCATTCTTCTAATGTTCAGACCCAAAAAGATGTCTACTGAAAACATCACTCCCAATTTATCATTATTAATACTTACGTGTCAACGTATTTTATCTCTGTGTTATTAGTATTTATTATTCTAGTCGAAGTAAGTTTTCATAACTTACTTACAATGCTAAACTGTTTATACATGAGTTAAATATTTCTATCAGTCTTTTATTCATCACAAATAATTCATTTTACTCACCTTTGTTTGTCTACTTATTTAAAAGCCATAAATGAAATGATTAAAATATTGAAAGAGTATGGCGACACTGTTTGCTTAATTGGAAGTTGCTATTCATTGACTAATTATGCCTTGTTTCAACAAAGTGATGTAGCCATTGCTGTGAGACCTATTCTGCCTCATTCAAATTGTCAATTTGCTAATACTAAATTAAATGTTTCGAATCAGGTGAGCTCATGTTTTTTCTCCTTGAACCATCACTCTAGTTAACAATTTTTTTTATTTTTCATATGTATCATTCATATAAACATTTTTTTTCAAACTACTATTATTTGAAAATGTGTTAGTGCAGTTCATTGATAAATCTTGTACTTGAGCACTTAACCACAGACTTCGCAATCGCTTCCTATTCGCTAGACGTTTTTCACTCTTGAACATCCAATCAAAAACAGAGAACAGAAAATATGAAAACGAAATTCATTTTGAAGGTTAATTTGTGTAAAAAAAAAACGATGATATTAGTAGTGTTTTAGGAGTAGGTGAAAATTCGAAGCCTTGTGAAGAAATTATTGAATTGATTACAAGTTAATTTCTCATTTTGCTTATATATATTTATAGTTAATAAATTGACTGATAACTAAACATTCGAGCCTAGTGTTCATAATTCCTTTGAAGCTTACTTCTCGCTCCTACAACGGATGCCTTTTGTTTTATTCTCTTTTAAGTATGTTACTCTAATCACAAAAGACTTAAAGTTTGTGCTAACACCTTATAATAAGTGTGTACATTGAATATGCTCGATACATATGACTACTAATTTTTGCATTAATTTACTTCATGTAGTCAAAAATGACTTTTCTTTTGATAATCATTATCCACATTTGACGTTCAGTGTTTTAACGGTAGATTTAATCTCCGTTTTAGCAGCTTAACTGATAGCACAGAAAAGACAGAGTTAAGTAATAACTAAGATTTCTCACGATTTACAGAATGACTGAATAACTAGTTAGAAGGTTAAAGTAGATTAAAAATGATAGACTAATTTTAACCGTAGATGTCATCAATAATCATACTGCTACTAGGACATACAGCTATGAGTCTGAAATAATCTAGATCAGATATATGTCTTTTTCTTGAACTCTTAGTGTAAATGCCAGGCTTTAAGATTGTGGTCGTAGCTTCTACCATAGAACACTGGGAACATACAAAGCGCGCAGGTCTCGTCTATTGAATCACATTAACATTTCATAATTGAGTAAAGGAAAATAGAGAATATAATGTCTATGTAAAATACGAAATTCAAAGAGAGTAAATAACTGATTTCTGTTCGCGATTCCTAATTCCGATATAAGGTCATTATGTAACTGCCTAGCTTTGACTGCTGTATCAGTCTTCTCTTGGAATCAGCTTTTATAGAAATTTCTTTCTCCGTTCATTTTAAAACGTACTTTTTAAACAATTTTAGAATATGGTGCTGCAGCCTTATAGCGATTTGTTACTGCACCTTTAGTACTCAACATTAATATATTTACAATAAGGAATACCATCTACCTACCGCTTTATAACATTAATAAAAAATAATGTGTGTGTAATTTTTTTACAAGAGTTACATCGCACGAATTTAATAGCTTCATTCATCTCAATAAATGCTTATACCTAATCAGGTAAATTTCGTGTATACGGCGCTTTCGATAACTGTAAAACTATATGTATATGTGTGCATGTTCATGAAGTTTCAAAACGGGGAATTAATAATTTTCTAGTCAATTCTATGATAAGAAAGCTCATCATTTACAAATTTTCTGTGTATTGGACTATTGAATGCGGTATTTGTTTTAATTATTTCTGTTCGCAATTTTCTTTTTGTTGTACAACTCTCAAGTCTATTGATCTACCAACAAGTGATTTCCAGTCAGAAGAATTTAGTTGTTCTAAAAGTAAATTAACTTCTACTCATCAAAAAAATGATACTACTAATGTCAATACATTTGACATTGCTGCACATCTTATACACTTAGTTACACCTTGTCTATTGGATATAGAGAAACGAGGATTTCATGTCTACGATCTTATTGTCGAAGTAAGTAGAATGAAAGTATACATAATTCTTGATTCGCTTATCAATTTTTTTTATTTAAGTAAACTCCGTAAAATGTACTTATTTGGATTACCCTATTGATTTCTTTATTAAGACTAGGATCCAACATTCAATACGCATATTCTGATAGCATCATTACGTAGTCCACTATGTTATAATCGAGATTTTGTGTTCATTGATATAGTTACTTTCCTTTAGGTATCCTATCGTTTATGAATCCTTTAAAAGTTATGTGAATTTCATTAAAACGTGCCTTATAAAATTGTTTTGTTCAATGGTATGAATTGTCTTACAGTAAATTAGTCTCAGCATCAATTATAAACAATAATACAACACACTTCTGTTTAGTACACATTCGAGCTATATTTATTTAAGAACCCGCCCATCTCCAGTCAACAAAGTTTTCTACCAGCTCGATTTCAATATCCCTTTTCTCATTTATCAATGATAAGTTGCATTAATTTCGGTATATTCGTCTCTCACTTTTTCAAAGGATAGATTAAGCGGTAAATATCCTGACAACTTCATTGTTTCTGTGAGTTTATAATGACACGTAAAAACACATAGTTAACATTCATAGCTATTCAGTTCTAATAAATCTGAACTCGGAAGGTTAATTTTGATACTTATACATTTTGGATATAGGAAATTTAAACTTCTGAAAAATTGATATTGATTTCCAGTCATCTAATTTCGATAGACTTCACTGTTCAACGTGTTCTCTAGATTCTGACTGGCTGAGTTTACTAGATGTTATAACATCAGCAACCGTGCTGTGACTGACTTATTGCTTAGTGAAATGACTTAAACAATAAAATTTACTTTAGTCATTAATTAGAATACTTTTAAACGTTTTATTTTCCTAATTCTGTGAATCAGGCTCACGCCGGTGTTAATAACCTCTATCATTGTTTGGTATTCAGTTCAACAACTCCATTAGCAGTTGGTTTGCTACAATTACTGTTATTAATAATTGGATTACCTACACGACCTGTTATTTTGCTAGATATGCGGTCAAATCTTCAACAAGGTCAATTAATTTGGTTGCCTGTGGAACCATTTCGATCAGTTATTTTTGGTTCAAGTGAAATTTTTAATAATTTAAGCAAATCTGATCAGCACACCAACTTTAATTTGTTAAATTATAGTTCGGATTGGAATTTCGAACCAAGTTTTAGTATTGGTCAGTTATTCTGGCTACTTTTCATCGTCATTCCGGCCTTATCGTTATCTTTGATCGATAGGCAAGTTGAACGAAATCAACCGTTACGTGAACCACCGATTAAACGTAATAAACTGTTTACTAGAAAGGTTTGTTACAATGTTTATTTATGTGTCTGAATGGTGTCTAATTTTAAGAACAGGTTGGATATTTATTTAAAACAAAATTCCTAATTATTTACTAATTTAGACGCTATATGTATAATTGACTGTATACTTTGTTCTGTTAGTCGGTGTTTACTCACAGCAGAATAGATCTAATTAAGGCTATAATTGTTGTTTGTTTTGTTTTCAGTGGGCATCCTCAATGTTTAGAGTATTTGCATCATGATCACTCCTGAATCGATTCATATCTTAACATTGGTTGCTATTCTTCTCCTACTTCGGTTCGTGCAACTGAGTATTGACTGGATTTTGTTGTCTTCTCCTCACTAACAAAACGAATAGCACAGAATTTCTCTCAATTAAGTTTGTCTTTGAAATAAGCTACAGTTATGTCATATCACATATATAATTGCAACATATAGATCTGCACAACTCATTCTATCGAAATCGTCATTTACCTCTGTTCACAGTATTCATTCATCGTTGGCTCACTATATGTACGTTGATAAAACAAAGTCTCAAATCTATTGAGAATTCCAACACATTTCTGTATATGGTGTTTTTTACGTTTTCATAATAGTTTTATTCATTCTATAAATGTTCAGGCTATTTTAAGCCTTATGTTCTGAACTATGACTAAATTAAGTTGACATACGGGAGTTCGTATTTACTCCTTCTTAGTCTAACGTAATCCGTATCGTTAATAACTGATTTACCAGTTATATGCAAAGGCATTTCGTTAATTTAAACCAGACTTCAATTACCATTATCTAAAGGGCACCATATGTGTAAGTTTATCTCACCAAATATATTTTAGTATGTATTACTATTTAGAGCTCACTAGGCTTTTCCCCGATTTTGGGCAGATAACTAATCCATTCTTCGCTAGTTATTCATATGTCTTTAGATCTTGTCACTTATTCGCTTATAACTTGGTTGTTTCTATTTAAATGTGTGTGTTTGACAAGAACCGCCATCCCAAGGAATGAGTCTCGGTTGATACTCTGGATAGGATCGAAGAAGCGAAGACCAGGAATGCAGCATTCAATATTATCCGAACAGGCTAAAGAAAGCAACGGCACAGGCTAAATACGCATCAGCAAACAAGCAAATGAGGAGCAGCATTGAATCCGACAATCGTAAACATGTAGGAGATCTAGCAATGACTGTGGAAAAAGCCGCAAGAGAATTAAACATAAGACAATTATACGATACAAAAAAGAAGCTCGCTGGCAATTATCTGAAACCAAAACGGTCAGTGATAAAAAGGAAGGCAAACCAATCTTTGACATTGAAGAACAGAGGAACAGGTGGGTAGAGCAGACTGGAACATAGAGCATCTCATAAAGATACCAACAAAAATCTCAGCAACTGTGAAGACTGCAGAGTGATCATCCTACTTTCAAATAACACGAATAGTCTTCAACAGAGCGTCGTTAAACCGAATGAAAGATTCAGTAGATGACCAACTTCCAGATCAGCATATTTGATTGGTCGAGTACCGACCAAATCGCGACATTACTGCAACATCATGTATGAAGGACAGATGACAGGCTCCTTCGAAGTGAAGACCCATATGCAACAACAAATGCAGGTGAAGACAACCAGTGTAATAACTGTTGGTGTCAGTTCGCACAAGGAAAAAAAGCGAGATCCTCAGACAAAACAGCGAGCACCAACCAAGTCACGCTTGATATAGAGGCTCTGGACTATGTGTAAACCTTTACATGTCTAGTCACCATCATTGATTAAAAAGATGAATCTGATGCAGATGTAAGGACGCGGATTAACAAAGCAAGGACAGTCTTTCTACAATTGAAGAAGATCTGGAACTCAAAACAACTGTTAACCTACACGAATGTCTGAATTTTCAATACAAATGTCAAGACAGTTCTACTGTATGGGGCGGAAACTTGGAAAACTACGGAAGCCATCATCCATAGGATACATGTGATTATAAACAGACGTCTACGCAAGATACTGTGGATCTGTTTGCAAGGCATCACGAGCAACAACCTATTACAGGAGAGAACAAACTAGATTCCGATTGAGAAAGAAACTCAAAAAAAGTTCTGCGTGTGGATAGGGCACACATTGAGGAAAGCACACAACTGCATCAAGAGGTAAGCTATAACATGAAATCTCTGAAGCTGAAAGAAAACAGGCAGAGCAAAGAAAGTTTTGCGCAGAGAATTGGAGGTAGACATGAAAGAAAATGAGTAGCGATGGGAAGGACAGAGTTGGTTGGCCTAATCGTATTAGACTGCCATCGCACACATGTGGTTTGCCTTAGAATAATATGCGGATAATAAATGAAAGATTTATTTCATAACACGTCCGATGGTTCGTAAAAGGTACAGTCAGATCCCGATTCACTAAAAGTTTTATCTTGGTAAACTTTCCCGTACCAGCCTATACACTTTATTTGAATTCGTTCAAATTATTTATTCTCATTTATTTTTCCATTTATTTCTCTTTATTTATTTTATTGATATATGGATTCATGCATCCATTTGCGTGATTTTCTAAATATAGAGATGCGTACGCTTTACTTTAGTGACTTGTTCTCGTTTCATACCGTCACTATTAATTTGTGTATTCTGTGAAGTTGGCCATTTTGTTTGGACTCAGCAGCTTGGAGATTGTCATCAATCATTTCGCAATATTTATGAAAATAAGTTTATTGAAACAAGTTCCCTGAATAACACTCCTAATGTATATAATAAAACGTTATCGTAAGTTGAAATTATATGTTACATTCTTGAATCTATTTTCGTTATTTTCCAAATATCTTACACCATTTCATGCCTTTTAATTCCAGTTATAGGACTATTCCTTAGAACTGTTCAGATAATAAATAATTCTAAACTTGTAACTGAATATTCTGTAGCCATATAACATAATCGTATCAATCAGTTTAAACTATATCATACTTTTCACAGAAATACTATGTGAACTACGCATACAACCCCATAAAATAAGATCAATAAAACTAAACTACTATTGAAACGGTGTTACTCTCAAGATAAGTTTGACCTTTTCGGTCTCAGTTGTTAGTCGATTTAACGTACAAAATTATTTAGATTAAAAATTAACTAATGAAATTTAATAACACCTAAATGTCGATAATATCTCAACATAATTTACAAAATGTTTACAATCAGTCTCTCATCTTGTTTTTATACGTACTGATCAATGAGTCAACAAATTAGCGTTATCAGACAACCTGATAATGAAACCTAATTGTGTTTTCTGTTTTCCACTGAGTTGCCTGTTATCTAATGGATCACTAATAAATTGATTCCGCCTAAGTGCAACAACAAAAAGAAATTAGTTTCTCTTTAATTTCATTAACAACACAATTTTGTAACGGACAAACTGAACATGTGACTTGTCGTCACATTCACAGAATGTTGTATTTGATTTACAATAGAACTGTCGTTTGTTTATCAATCAAACTACATTTCAACCAATAGATCAATGTAGCTTGTTCATAATTTATATTTAACAACCGATAGTCTGTGCTACTTTCTGAGAATTATTCAATTACTTAAGAGTTTCAATCTGAGACCCGATTAACTCGTCTCTACTGTATAGCTTCAGCCAGTAACAGTAGTACATAATGTAGACCATGGAAAATAACACAAACAAGAGTTGCTATTTTAAGTTTTTTGCCGAAGCCTATCTCGGTGGTTCTATACGACCATGTGCACTGAATTCAGCATGTTAAAAAATATCAAGTCGTTCTCTCCCTTTGTTTGTCGCAATTTCCTACTTTTATCTTAAAAAGTAGTCATATTTTCCTTTCAAGAAGTTTGGCAGGAAATTTGAACATGATATGATAGTCAAATAATTTTGTACTAGTTATGTCGTTTCTCTTTTCTTCTCCTTTCCTCAGATCCTCATCTTATGCTCTTCAAGAATTATGTCTATCTAAATTGTCTATATTAATATACAATCTAAAGGATTTAATTTTCTACCAGTTAATCATGTACTTAAGTAGGTGAATTAAGTTTAATTTTTTTTTCAAATTTATTGTGTATATAATTTAATAATGTATAAACGTAGCGTGTGTTTATTAATAATGAAATCACCGGAAATAGTGACAGTGTAGTACGTGTCCGTACGAGAAACATCTGTCTGACCAACCAAGGCATTCTAGTAGTCTTCCAGTCATTTGGGCCATCAAAGCAATTTGTATGTGTGTAAACTCAGTTAAGAGGTCATCTACGTTTTCATTCCATCGGTCAGTTAGTTAGCTTATTACTACTTATTTATTACTGATTCGAATCTGGTTATAGAGCACCGTTATTACGTCGTCCTGAGGTCGTCGCAGGTTACGTAATGTGAACGTCGTGGCGGATCGGATGAAGACAATTTCGAAGGGGCCATGCCGCAGCTGGTGAATTTTACTGCCACCAAGGTGGTTACTGGAAAACTCAGACGAACCCGCAGTGCTTCTACCTAAGGCAACAACCAGCGCAACCCCTCGTCAACCACCACTGTTGGAAACTTCATCGGATTATGCCGTTTGGAAATTTAGAGTGATAGCGTATCTGCGCAAAGTGCCAGCCTCAGAACATTTCGATTACCTCGTATCGTACTTGAGTGATGAGGCAGTAAAAAGAGTAACAGCATTTAGTTTCGCAGCAAGCAACTCACTAGCCCAAAATTGGAATATATTAGATGATTGTTTTTCATTACCTGTGGATAGTCAGCAGGTGACCATACAATTCTTGTCGCGTCACCAGACGGCGGGCGAAAATCCTATTGAATACCTGGACTCCTTACAGCAAATTGTCGTCCAAGCGTTTCCCAATTTGAATGCCACGGGACGAGACGAATTGGTACGCTCCCGTTTCATTGAAGGGCTAGTACACTGCCTACTAAGAGAACAGCACTTTGGTTTCTCACTGCAGACAGACGGAGGCGAATTCATACTCGATACGGATGCTAGTTCCTCGGCTATTGGAGCGGTTCTATCACAAGTAGCTCGAGATGGTCAGGAGAGAGTCATCGCGTACGTCAGTCGACGACTAGACAAGAGCGAAGCACAGTACTCGACAACACGACGAGAAATGCTGGCATTAGTAAAATTCTTACAGCACTTTCGTCATCGCAAACTCGATCAGGCAGGCGAACGAAGAACTGAATACGCTGTTCGCCAGCGCTTTTGATGGTCGTCTGTTCACGAAGATGTGACTGAATTTTGCAAAAACTGTAACTCGTGTTGCCACATAAAATCACCCAAGCAGACACCACGCGCACTGTTGATGCCAATGAGGGCAAGGGGCTCGCACTAACGGGTCGGCATTTATATTATGGGACCGTTGACGACGACGAAAAAAGGAAATCACTACATATTAGTTAAGGTGGATTATTTCATTAAATGGTGTGTAGCAGTACCCATCCCGTAGCAAGATGCCCTCACTGTCGCACCTGCTTCCATCGATAATTCGTTTTCCCGTTACGGTGCCCCACCCTCACTCCACTTCGACCATGGTCCGGACACTGAAAGTTATCTCAATGCTGAAATATGATAGTTATTGTTAGGGATGTTAGATCCTCAGTACATGCTTGATAAATATCTTTATTTTGGATTTATTTCATGGACCGATCAGTTGACCTTGAGACCACATTTCTCACCAGGAAAGTCCTTGGCTGTGCTTGGTCACTGTGTCATTTTAGTGTGCTATTTTTGTGACTGTCCGAAGGACGTCTCTATAGAGTATAAATAAACGCAATTTGAATGCTTGGATTCATTGTGTGCTGGCTGGGTGTTTGTAGAATACAATTTCTACACTATATCAAGACTTCTTGCTGATTCAATTTGGTCAAGGGATCACAGTAGCCTACCTGAACGCTGGTTCATTGTTTTGTTCTCGTTATTCGACTAAGGTGAACTCGTAATAGTTTAAGCATACCTAGAGACGAGTGTAAAAGTTATTACGAATAATTAGAACAACACATATAAGCGAACAATATTGTTTTCGATTAGATCGTCATCAGGCTTTACTTTAATATACATGAATATTTATATGAAAATGTTAAACCGATCAAGGCAATTTGAGTGATAATCACAATGAAATAGAGATTACGTCACTACATATAATAGGCAAAAGTACAAGTGGATAGTAGGAAGACAGGTATACTGATAGTAGTAAGAAAATTTACTTATTAAAAAATCATTTATGTGGTTCGTTTTTCCATTTGTTTCCAGTTGTTATATCATTTTCTTATGCCAATTACGGTCAAAGAGTATGGGAATTTCGATTTTCGACAAATCCTTCTTGGTGTATAGTTTCTAGTCTTATGTGGGTTACTTATTTTTAAATGGCTATGTTACTACTCATTTTTTACATTTTTTTTAAAAAGTTTTTGAGTACTAGGACTTGTATGAAAAAAAAACATTTGATTCAACATCTTTTTTCGTACCCATTTGTCACATTGTAATTTTGGACTCTGAAGTATTGAATCACAACTACGTTCATTCTTCTTCCGAATTTGTGGAAATAGTTTAATTCATCTTAGTGGACAATAATAATCGTTCTTAATTCATGGATCGACTGTTACTCTATCTGTTCATTTGAACACAGATTTAATGGTAACCCATTAATTCTTTGATCGTCCTATTGACGGATCATGATTTTATCACAATTTCGTACTGAAATTTTATGTATATCACACTTGTCAACCATCATTAAGTTATATTGTTGTCTTTGTTGAGTCACTATGGACAACAAACAAACATCGTTTGTATTTTCTGATGCGAAAGTTGACAAGTAGGTAGCAGTTTAGATGTCGTGGAGTGGAGTCAAAGAATAAATCTTACAGAACTTAGCCGAAGATTAATTTTCTACAATTAGACAGAGTTTATCCGTCGATTCCCTTATAGATTAACATGAACTTGCCACTGTATCCGAACTAGTTGTATTGTCGATATTAGCGTAATGATAGCATGTAATGTGAGATCATCAGGTAGTAAAAATAACTTCAGCCCATAAAAGTTTAGCATTATTTCAGTTATAATAAAGCGTATTTGATAAATTTCCTGGATATATCAAGAGTTTTACTGGTTTTATAGTATGTTAACATTGTTATCTAGCTAAATCTGTCTTTCTTCATCTATTTATTCAAGTATTTTTTTCACAAAATATAAAAACGGGGACGAACACATCTTTCTTCCTTGCTTACTGGATGGTCACTAAGCAGTAAAGCTTCTCATGCGTTTTTCTAATACATGGTGCTGATCGAGTTATATTAATAAATTGAAATGTTGCTTCTAGTTTAATTGACACTTTATTGTATTCTCTATGTTTTGATGATTTTCTGGAAGTGATCAGCTGAAAACCGTAGATCTTGTTCAATCAGAACAGGTCTGTTTAGACAACTTGATCAATAGAATTCATTATTTCCCCAGATGAATACCACTCTGGTTTACAGTTTTCTCTCGATAGCCTTCAACAAATCAACGCAATTTTGCTATATCCCATCGTTCCCCTATATAGGTTTTATTGCAGAGCTTATAGAATATTTTTTTAAACCATTAATCCTTAACACTAGAACTTTGAATTGAATAAGTTCCATTTAATCTATTTTTCAATTCATTTAACAGGTTTCGGTTTATACTGACAAATCTTTTTCGGGTTTTTTTATTCTTCAGATTCATTTTGCATTCAGTTTATGTGATCATTCGTTTGTGTGTCGTTGATTCCTCTATAAAATTAACAGGTTGGCACATTTTATCTCCAATCATATCTGCATTTAGTTTTATATGGTGCATTTTGCTAGTGTTTATTAATGACTTCATATCATGGAGAGAAAGTCGGTACGTAAAAACTGCTTAACTTCTGTTTAACTTGTTTTTATTTAAAATGATAGAAAATATATATTCAGTCTAGATAGTATAGAGTAGTTGGCAATAATTATAGCTTTATACACTGTGAGGTGGATCATTCTGTGATCTTTTTTGTGGAATAGCTCTAAACTAAGGTTGTTGTACTTTAATCCATGTATTTTTATTTTATAGAAACAATTCACTGATTGCCAACGATTGTTTACAATCTGCTTCACATAATTCCTATCTTCACTAGTCTAAAACTTTGACTTAACGTTTTACATGTACATTCACGAATTTGATGAAAGAATCCCTCTTACTTTATGGCTAGTGAGAGTAGAAGATACTCGTCGGTTATTGGTTTTCGATCATAGGTGTCTTCGAAGCATTGCTCGTATATCCTGGGACACCCGAGTGAGCAACGCTGTTATTAGGAAACGGGTGCTAGGTAAGAATGGCAGATCAATAGATGAAGTAATGAAACTTCATCAGTTGAGATGGTTGGGACATGTGCTGCGTATGCCTAACCACCGAATGCCTCGACAAGCTATGTTTTGTAGTGTAGGAATAGTTTGGAAGAAATCTAGGGTTGGCCAAATCAAAACATGGCAGAAATCCATGAAGTCATTGACAAATGGACTGAGCCATGTCGGTAGTTGTTGACTACCTGGTTGGGGTCCGCGAGATGATAATAATAGATGGTTAGAGACCCTGAAATTATAAAAGTGTATAGCAATGATAGAATAAGCCTACAACATTATCAAAGTATATATATATATATATATATATATATATATATTATTGATGTTTATAAGCATTATAAAGAAGTAGGTTTAGTTTAACTTTTATGTCTAGTAGTAACTCAATGACGATAAATATGCTCTCTGTTTCATGAATGCATATAGTCAGACAAAGTAATTGTTTGAATTTTTCTCTGTAGAGTCGGCTGTGTGATGAATAGCATCCTAATATTTAGATAACTGTTTAATCTGATGCAACTTCTTGCTGGAAATTTAGTTAAGAAATGTAGATCTTTACGATCAGTCGCAACAAATGATACCTTATTCCAACATTTTTTTGCTTCGTGAGACGTATCAAATTGTGTCAAGCAATTTCAGATTGGGTTAATGATATCCCATACCAGTCTCATCGCCTCAGTCAAATTCAGTCTTTGTTTTCCCTTTCATATTTACATTATCATGTCGACATTATACCACATTGATTCAATAATAAGCAAAATAGTCAGTCAGTCAGATGCAACGTAGAACTTTGTACATAAGTACATCAGTTCATGTTGCCATACCACATCAGCACAGAGAAGTAATCGTCAATTCAAATCCAATAGTAGAAGAGGTAGTAAGGGAATTAGAAGTAATCGGAGAGGTTAGGATTAGAAGATATTAATTATTCAAGAAGTATGATTAGGTGAGAAAAGTTTAGAAAGTCGAAACTAGAGGTGTTGAAGAATCCAGAAGATTAAGATTTGAGAGAACACAGAGAATAAATGCACCGGCGCCATTGCGAACGATTTTGAGCCATGTCATTCAAGGTCTCTAACCATCGATTATTATCATCTCGCGGACCCCAACCAGGTAGTCTACATCTACTAACATGACTCAGTCTGCTTGTCAATGACTTCATGGATTTCTGCCATGTTTAAGTCTGGCCGCCCCTAACTTTCTTCAAACCTACTCCTACACCACAAAACATAGCTCGTCGAGGCAGTCGGTGGTTAGGCATTCGTAACACATGTCCCAACCACCTCAACTGATGAAGTTTCAATAGTTTATCTATTGATCTGCCATTCTTACCTAGCACCCGTTTCCTAACGACAGCATTACTTACTCGGTTGTCCCACGAGCAATGCTTCTTAAACATCTATGATCGAATGCTAGTAACCTATGAACATCTTCCACTCTTAACGGCCATGTTTCGCATCCGTATAGGAGAACGGAGCGAACTGCTGCGCAGTACACCCGTCCTTTTGTCAGTGAACGGATATCTCGCCTACGCCATAAGTGACGCAGGTTGGCAAAAGCCAATCGAGGTTTCTGTATCCGTGCTGAGATTTTGTCAGTCACCAGGCCATCAGCACTGATGAGACTCCCCAGATAAGTGAAGCGGTCTACACGTTCGACTACTTCACACCCTATCACTAGTTCAGGTGCCGATGCAACCCAATCTTGAAGCAACATTTTGCATTTCGAGTGGGAAAACCGCATCCCGAACATGCTCGCATTGTTGCTTAGGATAGTCAGAAGACTCTGCATTTTGTCAGTGTCTTCACCAAGTAGGACAATGTCATCGGCATATTCTAAGTCAATAAGCGAGCCACCTGGTAGAAAAATAAGTCAAACAGTGCTTTTTTTATTTGCTAAAACAACTTTCTTTTTCTCAGTTAGTTATCATTTTTTTAATCACTGTTCAACTGATTAATTTTATTATCTATACGCTTCAATTGTGTTTTCATAGAGCTATTCTGACGGAGCATCGCCTCTCTAGACTTTACTTCAATACAAAATTGGGTATGTATTCGCCCGTTTGATTTTACTGAATTCTGATCATTTCTGGGGAAAAAATTTAATGATTTCCTTTCCTGCTTCACTGTTTCGCTAATAAACTAATGATTCATAATTCAGATTTTGACTCTTAGATTGTGAACAACACGCCAAAAATCTTAGTGGTATATTTAAAATTCACTAACTATTATTTCTAAACAACAAAGTATTAAGTTCTAATTAAATTAGCGCATCCAATATCTTTTGACGAGTTCGTTTAAACCAACGGGTTTTTTGAATTCATTTCATGACGCTGCACTGGTCCTATTGTATTTGTTAGTTAATCAGGAATTGATATCTCTTGGATTTGAGTGCTTTTATTCCAGGCCTATATGAGGATGCTCGGAAAGGCAGTGATTACATTACATGACAAAAGATTGTTTGGTTGGCTTACAAAATTAGGTTGTAGAGTAATGACAATACGCCAATCAAAAAGAGTTTAATGCGAAATTATGGATCGGAAAAAGTTTAAGAATAACAGATTCGAGTGACAGTGGTTGGGGTGCGAAAGCATTATAATGATAAAATGCGACATATTCATTAGGTATGACTGTCTCAATAAAGGAAGGTAAGCCATGAGTGTATCGTGGTGGTTGGACCTGTCAAAGTTATCTCTTAAGAGAACTTCTGTCAAATTGGATAGCATTATGTATATATGGGTTTTACAAAATGTACTAAAAGGTTGCGAAAAGTAGATAAGAAGTTAAAAGTATAACTCAGCAAATTTAAGAAAGATGTGACATTGTTTCAGGTCATCGTTGATTCATTCATTTTCGCAAGTGGACGATTTTCACTTCGGTCAGTCAGTCAGGTTACCTGAAATTAGTCCTGTTTCTGTCCAATATCCAATATCTTTTTCACGAGCTAGTGTAAACCAATTTGATTTCTTCGCGCTCGATTCTTGTTATTTCGGTACGGTTCCAGGTGTTCGGTAATCTCCAATGGATGGAGGTCTAGCCACTCGACTGTCTGATTCTAGTCAGTTGGCAGTTGGTTGTGAGTTTGTATGTCTCGGGATTTGAATGAAACGTTTGTTTCAGGGCAGTAGGGTTTCTGGATACTAGCAGCCGTCACATTACCAAACCGGAGATCAGTTATTTGCAATGTGGAGAGTAATAAGGGTAAATTAAAATGATAATATGAGTAAAATTTCAGAACTGAGTAATATATAGATGAATTTAGTTTATTAATTGGTAGTGAAGATTGTGAGAGAGGACCGAAGTGTAAGCAAGGGAGAGGAATAGGCGAGATAGATTAATTAAGTGATCTGAGGAGATGGCAATGGTAACAACTAGCATGTCTCAAGATATGCATCAGGCACAGCTTGTCCAAGAGGGAGATGATAGTCCGCATGTGAGTACGTGATTATCAAGTCTCTTCTTAAAGCAGTCCACTGAGGGGGCTGTAACTACCTCGGCTGGGAGAGCATTCCAAGTTGCGACGACTCGCAATGAGAAAAAGTGTGCACGAATCTGAGTGTTTGCTCTTTGATGTGCAATCTTTTGAGGATTGCCTCGAGGGGAGTGGTGGTGATGCATCGGTAAGATGGTCACATTGGGATGGTTTGGCGTGTTTAATATGGTGTACGCCATAATCAGGTCACCTCTGATTCTCCTGTAGCTCAGTGGGAATAATCCCAAGAGCTGGAGTCTATCGTCGTACGGTTTATTTTTCAACCCTATCGCCCATTTGGTTGCTCGTCTCTGCACTCGATCCAAGAGATTAATGTCTCTTTTAAGCAGAGGGGGTGCGATGACGTTGTGAACCTCCAAGTGTGGGCGCGCGTACGTCTTAAACAGGGTTAAAAATAATTTCGGTGTTATAGCACCAAGCTGTCTTCGCATAAAGTGAAGAGTCGCATTTGCCTTGGCTGCATCCCCTACATAGTTCGGACTCGTGTGGAGGCTTTCTGTGGTTATTAAACCAAGATCGGGCTCTGAGGAGACATTAGGGAGCGGACTTCCATTGAGAGTGTAGATGGTTTGCGTCATATGAGGCAGGAAATGCATGACGTGGCACTTCGGTTGGTTGAGTCTTAAACCGTTTTTCACTGCCCATTTCTCAATGAATGTAAGATCCTTTTGAAGCTCAGTCAAATCCTCTTCGCTTCTAATGGACCTCTAGATCTTCGCATCGTCTGCGTAGATCAGTGCCGGTGAGCTAACTAAGCTTAGGAGGTCGTTAATGAATATCAGGAAGAGGAAACCAGCCACTAGTCATCTCTATAAACGACTCATGAACCATGTCTACATCTGCTGGAGTGTTGATAAACTCTTTGGACAGAAAGATAGCCTTGTAGATAAGATCTTATCTTAAAAACTCCGTATTAATGAAAACGTATAATTTAAGGCATATTGTTTTTAGGTCTCTAAAAAGAATGCCTAAAACATGCTATCGAAAATTCAAAATTATGAGTATGAAATGAAATGTACGTGCTCTTATTCCCAAATTTGAACGCCAATCTATTTATCTACCGTTCGTACTCAACATTCTATACTGAAAAATAATCCCTTTCAGCTAAATAACAGTGAACATTCGACAACGACTCTAATCATATTACTTTTACTGAGCATTCTACTGTCGATACTAGACCATCTTTCGACCCTCAATAAAATAATCTTTTTAGCTTGAAATCCAACTTTACGATACCTTAGCATGTAAAGCAAATACATTTTCTCACATAATGTTGTAGTTGCTATAGTTTTCAAGGATACACTTCGGCTGCAGATACTTCTATTTTTCAGTCCCACCGTACCTGAATCGTATATCTCCGTTATATCGAAATCTTCCGGTTGAAAATAGATGTTTCCTGAGTTTGAAAGAGAATTTATTATCCAAGATAAAAAGTCAGATTCGGGTCTGCGTTGCGTTAATATTCTTCTTATTGACATTTCGGTTATTTCTGTTTATCGTATTGAGGTGTAAGGAAATACTTGGTAGGACTCTCGCACTGTGCTACGTCTCCAGACTACTCTGTCTTGTCCTTGAAGCACGTTTGATTTATAGATCTATAAATTACGACCCAAATAACAAGGTATAATTACAATTCACGAATCAACATTTCATTAGTATGTTGCGAGTAATCAACAAGATGATTACAACAAGCTTCCGTTTCTTAAGCTTTTAGCGCGAAATTTTAAAGAATCCAAAATGGTTAGACTGAAAATCACTGTTGCAGTAAATATGTCCTCATGTCAAATAATTCTGAAAGTCTTCGATACTGATGCAGAGTTCGTTAGTTTTATTGGGCATTCTAGCCTATCTCCTAGTCACACGTCCGCACCAAACCAGCATTGCGTACACCGAGCTACGCTTCTTTCCGTAACAACTAGTCAGCTTAGATAAATCTTCGACATTCCAGCTTTCCTTCCAATAAACCTTCAATTTCTTTTTATCCTGTCTTCAGGTTTAACTTGGTTTGATATTTACGATTAGTTGTCATGGGAAAATGTATTGTCTAATCGTAAATATTCATGCAATCTTTTTGATCAATATCGAAACTATTGACAGGGACCTACTTGGTATGATAAAATAAATCTGAGTTGGTTGTTATTTCAATGCTTTCAGGACTAATAATCATTTATCTGTAGCCAAATTATTCATCATGGTTACAAAGCGCTCCTATACCTTGAATACTGAAAGTCGGGTGGTTTGTCAAATATTATCAAGTTCATGGGTTAAAAATGTGGGTGACGTTTTTATTTATATGGCCTTAACATACGTGGCAGCGTAATGGAAATCTATATCAGTCATGTGCCATTAGTTCTACTTATTAATCATTTCACTAACTATATCGTGTGTAGTTAAGAAGTGGGATGAATGAGACAAGAATGTAGCTGGAGGATTAGAGTGTAAGCAGTTGTAAGTATGCTACTAGAATGCTATACCTCTCTAACCGTAGGCTTTCAGTGATTTGACTACCTTACTTATAAGATATTGTTTGGTTGTCACATCATTGTCTATACTGACTCGTCGTGACATGAGTCAGTAGTATGCTTCCTAAAACTTGGAGTAGACTGATGTAGTCAGTACGGACAGCAAGAAATTACATAGGGTGACCACCTCTGACCGTGCAAATTCCTTTTGCTTCAGCTGTCTTGCGTTAACCGTTTTTGACCTCCAACTGTAAGACAATATAAGCTTTTGTATGTATAGCTCCACATATCGTGTGGTTGAAAAATGCTAAATGATGGTACAAAGGCGTAAGATTAGATCCGATAATGTCAGATTTCTATTAAGGACAGAAAGTCCACGGTTTTTACTGGTCCTTTACGTCTAAACTTCTAAGAGTATCTTGTCTTCTCCTGAAGAAAGGATAAATCAGGTTCAGAATAACTTCATATTTTATGCAACACCTCTAACTCAACAGTAGGACAGAGTCAAGCGTTCTAACTTTTCAAGCCGCTGTTTGTCTGGTAAACACGGAAGTCCTCAAACCGCAGAAGCAGCTACCATTAGACAACCACTGAACTAAAGCTTATAGTCTGAAGGCAGTTTTAAAGCTGAGTATACAATTACCGAGCGTAACAACTATTCATCTCAAGGTCTATAGGGTTGTGAACGCCCCAGCTGCAACCGCATGTCAGGGGGCTACGAACCAAAGATCTTCGCTCAGTATTGGTGCAATATAATTGTCAGACCAGTCTTTAGGTACTGACCCTTCTAAAATGGCTATTTGCCTTTGTATCCCCGTTCTGCATGTAAAGACCATCTAGCCAGGAAGTTCGTCGATCGAGAATCGAGCGCAAAGAGGTCAAATGGATTTGACGGGCTCATGAAAAGGATACGGGGTAGTAAAAAATAATGTCCTTTGGGCGACATCTTATTAACAGTTCAGCGCGTTATTTGTTTCCAGGATGGTCATTTTTTAGTATTTAACCAAGACATTGATGAGGCCAAACCACCTTTAGTTTGATGGAAGTAGTCTTGATCTTGTCTTATCGATTTTCGCGACGGTTGCCGGCTTAGAGTCAGCAGGTGACTCATAACGGCTAACTGGCATTATAAGCACTGCAGTCAGCTAGGCAGAAGTGAATTAGTCGATGTGTCCCAGACCTTTAGTGTGTATTTCATTCTGTCCTGCAAATTTTTCCCTTTCTGTAATACTTAAGCGTTTAGCAAATCGTTCATTCGTACTTGGGTCCTTCGTCTAGAAGAGTCTTTAGAGTTAAAACT